GTGTGTGTGTATATATGTGTGTGTGTGTGTATATGTATACACACACACACACACATATATATATATATACACGTACATACACATACAGGTAAAAAAAGGATATATGCAGTGTTATCTTCATTTTAGATGTCAAAAGGGTCTCTCTCTCTCTGTGTCTCTCTCCCTCCCTCCCTCTCTGCCCTTGGTCTGCCACTCCTCTTCCCCCACTCTCTTTCTTTCTCTCTCTTTCCTCTCTCTCTCTCCCCCTCCCTCTCTCTCTCTCTTTCTCTCTCTCTCTTCCCCCCCCCATCTGCTGCTCACCTGGCAAGCTTCAAGTTGTTCTCCAACAATCTCCGGGGTAGGCAACCTCGTCTCTTTTATGACTCATGGACTTCAACTCCCAGAATTCCTGAGTCAGCCTAGCTGGGCTAGCTAGCTCTCTCCTGCCCTTCCTGCTTCCTGCTTCCTGCAGAGACGCAGCAAAGGGAGGAGCTCCGCCCAGAAAGCTTTTCAGCTCCTCGGAGAACACTGTGAGTGCAATCTTTTTTTTTTACACACACACATACACACACACACACAAAGAGAGAGAGAGAGAGAGAGCACGCACACACACACACACACACACACACAGAGAGAGAGAGAGAGAGAGAGAGAAGCAGGGAAGCGCAATTGCCTCTCTCTGTCTCTGTCTCTCTCTGCAAAGGCAGAGGAGGCTGGGAGCCACAGGGGAAGGCTCAAAGAGCCGCATGCGGCTCCGGAGCCGCAGGTTGCCAACCTGTGCACTAGAGAATAGGGAAAGACATACCCTTCTTAAGAATCACTTACACCTGCAAATACTGTATAAGATTAGGTTGTCCCCCACAATGTAATTCCCAGTTCATTTGTTTATTTAAATGCAATAAAAGGACATTGACAAATAGTATAACTTTGTAAATTTATTTACAGGTAATCAGACCTAGAATTTCCATTGCTAAGCACAGTGGTAAGTGAATCGCACCCAGTTTTATAACCTTTTTTTGACATGGTTCTTAAATCATATGGCTATTAAGTGAACCCAGCTTCCCCCATTGACTATCAGAAGCCAGTTGGAAGGTTGCAAATGGCAATCATATGACCCCCCCCCCCAAGATGCTGCAACCATCATATATGCATACCAGTTGCCAAGCACCCAAATTTTGATCATGTGACCGTGGGGACACTGTGATGGTGGTAAGTGTGAGGACTGGTTGTAGCTCTGTTTTTTATGGGCCATTGTAATTTTGAATAGTTACTAAACAAATGGTTGTAAGTCAAGGACTATAACCTGTAGTTATGTTCAAAATCTTCCTTCTGTTCTTCAATGGAGAAAGCCTTCATCTAATGGAAAATGTCTAACTGAGAAAATCCCTTATTTCTCTTAGTAGTCTCCACTGGTTTATTCTATGACAGAGCAGGCAAGGATTAGAAGGTAAGAAGATGAAGTAACTGTGATGTTTCTCATAGATTGGGTGATCCATTCATACGTCTGCCTACTTTGATTGCTTGCTGTTACATTTGGTCAGCTGGAAAGATGTAGAAATACTGTAAATGTACTGTCCAGCCCACAATATTTGGACATTGTATGTAAACTATTGGTTTCTTGTTCTTGGAAGACTTCAGCATCTATAAAAGGGTTATTCAAAACTGGAGCAGCTTTGAAATAACCACAGAACTATCCTAATTGGTATCTGATCTCCACATATGGCAAGGTACATGCTGGATTTAGAGTTCTGTTTGGGGATTTGAAAGGTGAAGGGAGCTCTGTATGACTGCAGACTACAAGGATCAGGATGCTTGTGCACAGAAACATCTAGCTGGTTGCCAATTGCTAAAACACACACTTTACACTTTCTACATTTAAAGACTTAAATGCTTTAGGCCTGATCTGTCTTCTTAAGTGACTGCCTCTCCTTGCATGAAGTTGGTAGAAGCATCTCAAACTCTCTCATCATTGCTGTTATACAGAATTGACTGCATTCATTCTACATGAAAGTGTGTAGAATCCACTCTGTTGAAACCCAGTGCTTCTTTTCCTTGCCTTTCCTGTGATTTTTGTCTTGTGCTTTTTAGCTCTGGAGCAAATCTGATTACTGAAATAAGTGCTTTCAGCACTAACCTCAACAAACCCAGTCCTGCTGTTAGGATCACAGGAGAGGCCCTTTTGAAGATACTTGGCTGTCAGAAGTCTATCTGGCCATGTGGAAGACAGCCTTCTGTATTAGTTTGAGACTCTAAAATGCATATCCTCTTGAAGAATAGGTTGCCCCATTATCTTGTTTAGAAAAATGTGTACGATACGTCTATGATGCTAGGCATTTAAGCTTTTGTATTACTATTAATTAATTTTTTTTATTTTCTAGATTTGATTCAGATTTGAGTAAAAAGATAAGAGTATAAATCAAATAAACATAGGACATACAAACAGCTCTGTGATGGTTTGTATTCAGTAAACTGAAACCAGAACCTAATTATACCCAGAAGAAATCAATTGATTTCACTCAGTAGGAAACCATTAGGAAAAACTGACTGGGGGATACCATGAAGCAAAGAAAGTATACTTAAAATGAAACTCTTTGATATTACTCTAGGTATGCCTGGTATTGAAGCTTATATAAAGGGCACCTGAGAGCCTGGATTCAATTTAATGTGATGTTAATTATACAGTTATCTTTAAGTATAAGATTTGAACTCAACTCCAATTCCTAATAACAAGAGGAATGATGAAAACATAGTAGAAAAGACTAATCAGGATGGCAATTTTCTTCACATAATACATTAAATCTATTAAATATTATTAATAGAATCTCAACTATATACTTTAGATTATTAAAGTATAGGTACTGTAACATCTAAGAGATCATTGAAAAAGCTAATGATCAGAGTTTGAGATGCTATTAGACACAAAAAGCTTTTTTCAAAAGAGAAAAAAAAATTAAAGTCTTGCCCAAATAAAGAGAACAAAAAGGAATATAAACTCTGGAAAAAGATAAGCTGTCATTAAATGCACACACACACACACAAATACAAATACAAATAGACTTTGACAAGTGCAAGGCAAAGATATTAATTAATTGCTATCAAGTCATTGTTGACTGTTAGTGACCAGACAGATAAATTTTCTCCATGATTAACTGTTCCTAAACTGATCTTTCATATCTTTCACCACTGTACCTCTTGTGTCTGCCCATTATACATCACCACTGTAATTAAGTCCATCCACCATGCTACTGGTCATCCCCATCTTTTCTTCTACCTTTCCCAGCATTACCGCCTACTACGGAGAGTTATGTTTTTGCATAATTTGTGTGAAGTAGGAAAATTTGAGCCACATCATTTGTGATTTGAGAAAATCTACACTGATTTCTTCACCAGTTTGCTTTCTTGATTGTCTACGATATTCTCGAGAGTTTTCTCCAACAGCAAAGTTCAAAAGCATCAATACTATTCCATTCTTGCTTCTTCAAAGTTCAACTTTTGCTTTCATGCAGTGTCACAGGGAATATCATGGTTTGCACAATTCTGATAATTGTAGGTATGGACACATTGTGGCAGTTGAATATTTTTTCCAAGGCCTTCATGGCTGCTCTACCAAGTTTGTGATGTGTTTCTTGTGTGCTGGGATTCCCATTTTTCTGAGTACATTCCACAGTGTGATGTGACTGACATTATAGAAAGCCTTTTTTTTTAAATTAATGAAGGACACAGTGACTTCTTTTTGCCATTTCGCTGTCTCAATTATCCAGCATGAATCAGCAATAAAATTGTGTATTCCTTAGCCTTTTCTAAAGCCAGTTTGAACATCTTGCATCTCTTTTTCCATGTAGAACTTTAATCTGTATTGGATGATCTTAAGAATTATTTTGCCTCTCTAAAGAAACAAGAAAGAGGGAATAACACTAGAAGATAGACAATTGGTTATTCAGATTAAAAACCAAAGTCCGGCTCATATAAAAAGAATATACAATGTTTTATTAGAGTTAGATTCGGAAACAGAATTGGTTAAAGACTGTATGATTAAATGGGCTCAGAATATACAGGAGCCGATCTCATTGGATTTATGGGAGACAATTTGGATAAGAAATGTTAAATTTACACAAGCTCAAAATTTGAGAGAAAATTTTTATAAAATGTTTTATAGATGGCACTTAGATCCTAAAAAATTATCTTGTATGTATTCCAATATACAGCCCAAATGTTGGAGATGTGGCAACAATGATGCGACATACTTTCATATTTGGTGGAACTGTAAAAATGTAAAGGCTTTTTGGATTATGATTTGGTGGAACATTCAAAAGATTTTTAGAAAAAAGATAAAGTTTACTCCTCAACTATTTTTACTTGGTATTTTTGTTGACTTAAATGAAAAAGAAACTACTTTGATGTTGAATTTATTAACTGCAGCAAGGTTACTAGTAGGTTTATATTGGAAGAAAGATTCCTTGCCTACTTTAGAAGAATGGATATTTAAAGTATCTAGTTTTGCAGAAATGGCAAAAATTTCTGCTTATTTAAAGGATCATACACAAGAAAGCTATATTACTGTAGGGGGAAGATGGATAGATTATATTCAGAAAAAGTATGGAATTAAAAAGTTTCATTTATTTTATGAATGAATATTAAATATTATAGAGAATTGTTTTATAGGTTATGGAGTTAAAGGTTAATTATGATATTTTTTTTCTCTTCCATTCTTTTTTTCCTTTTTTCTTAATTATTATAATTTTTTTTTATTAACCCTGTATTCTGCTCTGGGAAGTGAAGGGTTTTTTTTTCTACTTTAAAATTTTATTGTATTTTTATAAATGATTGTATGTTTTAAAAAAAATAAAAAAAAATTTTTCAAAAAAAAAAAAGAATTATTTTGCTAGCATGTGAAATTAAAGATATTGTATTTGCATACTCTGTTGGGTCTCCTTTTTTTTGAAATTGGAATGTAGATTGACCTCTTCCAATCTGGTGGCCACTGTATCATCCACCAGATTTGCTGGCATAGCTTTGTTAGAACCCTTACTGAATTCATCTGTTCCTGTAGTCTTCCAGCTTGCAATAACTAGACTGCTGATCTAATTTGTACTGCTGATCTTCTAGTATCAGAAGTTCTTTTAAGTAAGAAATATCTTTCAGGGCATCTTGAATGTTGACATGTGTACTGTGCAGAATTTCAGTAACAAATAACAACATTTTCAAATGTTTCAAATGAATAAAAATAAATTATAGGTATACCAAGGAGGAAATAACAGAGAATTTGAATGAATTTTTTCCTTCCATCTTTAATATCTTTACTGCTGAGAAATTAGGACTTCAAAACTGGTTTACATTACTGAGAAAATAATTATTCAGGCAAATCTGAGTAATGAAGGATAAAATTATAAGCTGAACTGATGACTAAAATAAATCAATCTCTGGATCCAAATAAAATGCATCAAAGAAAATTTAAAAATAAAAATAGGAAAAGGTATGCAATTTCTTCTGAATGTTGACATATTTTCTTGAGGACAAAAAAGTACCATAATTTTTTAAAATATATTGAAAGTTGTTAAAGGTTAACATTTGTTTTGGGGAAAATTCTTGGAATTAAGCAAAAACAGAGAAGCACGAGCCTTACTAAAAAACAACCAACATGAATCTCTCCATTAATCTTGTGCTTTTTAAAGGATGTTCAAAGAGCATGTAGACAAGGATAAGCCAATAAATATATATTATACTTACATTTTCAAAAAGCATTTAACAAGTCTCTTACCAAAGCTTCCTAAGCAAATTCACAAATCCAGCTGTTGTTAAAAAGACAGGGCTGTCAAAGACAGGCAACCAATTATAAAATAAAAACGAGAATATGATTAAATGGGAAATTCTTATGTTGTTGGAATCCTACAGGAGTCAATGCTGAGACAAGAGTTTTTGATCTAGCAAAATGATTTGAAGTTAAGAGTTGGTTAGTGCCGACGATAAAGATCGGCCGGCTGCGCCAACCGTAAGCCATAAGATCATCTAAGCAAGCAGACCCACTGTGGAAGATTTGGTGAGACTTTTTATTTACCTCTATTTTCTTTTTTTTCCTGTGAAAAGTTTTTTTTTGTTGGAATTATTTCCCTTTTTGTTGAAGCAGTATTTTAAATGGGGGAAGAGAAGCTTAAGAAAAGGATGAAATCCATTTTTGCTTTAATGGCTGACTTTGTTTTTGGATACTGTGTACAGTGTGGCAGGAGACAATGGGAGAGCTATTTGTGGAACTAGAGACTCGACTATGGAAACCTATTTGGAATAGAAAGAAACCCAAAATAAGATATAAATATTAAATTTGAGATGATAATTATGGATGATAAAGATTTTATAGCAATTCGGACTGTCTTGGATTTGATTTTTGCTAAAAGGGAGGCTATTATGAAATGATTTAGAACTTAATATTGAAGTATAGTAAGAATATGTGATTTTTTGTGTATGTTTGTTTTTTCTGTTTTGTGGTGTTTTTTTGGAATGAGATGGAATTAATAATTGGAGAATTATGGAAAAAGAATAGAAATATAGCTGAGAAATGTAAGAACTTACCGTAGTTTTGAAGCTAATATGTTTAAATATGAGAAATTTGGGGTCCCTGAATAGTAAAATAAATAGGTTAGTTTAAATTTAAATATATGAAAAATCAATAAAGTTTAAAACAGGATCTTTGGGATAGATAAGGAGCTTTTGTAAATGTTTATTGATTAATGAAATTCATATTTAGCATTATATTTAATGAAAACTTGTGTTAGAAATGTATTGAGATTGTAATAATTTAAATAGATAGAGAGCGTTAGTTTTGATTTAAGCATTTAATTTACCGTATATATAGCAATATATTAATGAATGAATTGGTGATAGGATTGTACTAATTTGATTATTACATGGATATTGAGCGATTGAAAATTTCTATTGATTAAGGAAACTTATATTTAGATATATTAATGAATGAATTTATTTGAATCTATTTGATTATAATATTCTACACAGATAGAGAGGGAAATTTTAAGAAACATCATCTGAAGTGTATATTTATAATGTTATTGTTTCTTTTGTATTTGACCACCATATCTCCACGCTGGATCTTAAGCTTCTGTTGGTGTAAAATGAAAAACTAATAAAAATTGTTTAATTGAAAATGGAACTACAGTACTAATATAATAAGACTCTTGTATAAATCTATAACATGACTACATTTGGAATAACATATTTAGTACCAATCACCTCATATTGATATATTATTGTAGGAGAAGATGAGACAGACCAGGAGTGGAATTAAGAGCTGTGAAGTATTTATCAACTATGCCTCTTTTTGGAGGATCCTGTCTTGGCCAATATTACAGATGTACTGATTAACTCCAGAACAGTCTGATATAATGAGTTGTATGTGGCGATAGTCTGGAACAAAATTCAGAAATTGTAGCGGGCCAGAATACAGTGGCTAGACTTCTGTAATGTACTGTATTTTCTAATGGAAACATGTGATGGGTTCTAGTAAAGTTGTACTGGTTTCCCATAAATTTACAGGTTAAATTCAAAGTGATTGTGCTATTGTATATCTCTCTAAATGGTTTGGGCCCTGCCTCTCTGGAGGAATAGTTCTCCTACTAGGTTGTGAATTGGAAGCTATGGTGATCTTTTAAATGTTTTAGAAGTTTGGACTTCTTTATTTGTAGCATTGAATTTTTGTTTCCTGCATATTGCTGTTAATAGTTTATATAATACAGCATATTATGTTGCTTTAATTTATTTTAGCACTTCTAAGATTCATTTCATATAGGCAGCATGTGAGTTATACTGTAATTATGATAAGTAAGTACATTTTTTAAAAAATGAAAAATAAAATAGCAAATAGTAAAGTTACTAAAGGTATTAAAAATAACCTTAGAAAACAAACATGCTCAATACATTTAAAAAAACTTAAGCTGAAGCTAAAATTATTACATTATATTTTCAATTTCCAGCTATGCTTCAAAAAACTAGGAAATTGCAATGTAAGATATGCATTTTATAATCAGTTCCATCTGAACTGAATATTAAAAAGAAGCAATAACTTAAAAACATTTCCTCAGGGCAAAGAGGGAATATACACAACACTTGGCGCACTCAGAGTTACAATATGCACCTTTAAAATGTCTATAGCTAATACTTCTTTTACAGAGCATGTTTTTTTCTGCACAGTTTTGAACACTGAAGGAGTTCAACGTAGTCTATGTTGTCACCCACACTTATCAAACTGCACAGTCTAGATAGATAGGTGGATGAAGAAAGATAGAGATAGTCATAGAGAGGTAGGTAGATAGACGATAGTTTGTGTGTGTGTGTGAGAGAGAGAGAGAGGGAGGGAGGGAGGGAGGGAGAGGGAGGGAGAGAGAGGGAGAGGGAGAGAGAGAGGGAGAGAGAGAGGGAGAGAGAGAGAGAATTCCCTTCTCATCCCTATGGGTGGGCTGTGTCTTCCTTCATCTTGGGGCCTCTACCAGAGGCCCGGGCAGGGCTTATCACATTATTTCAGCTGTTCCTAACACTGCACAAAGAGCTCTGATGTTGTTTCTGGAGTCTATGGTAGTGTTTCTGTCATCACTGGGATCACTTGCAGGGTCTTGTCTCATCCTGGCACTTCCTCTATTTGATCTTCCTCCTATGTCTGCTGCCGCCTCAGGCATTCTTTCACCAACTCATGTTTGAGTACCATCTTACTGATGTACTCCTGGATGCTCTGGGTTTTATTCAAGACATTGGCTTTGACATTCACTAGAGCCTGCCTGCCCTCTTTCTGGCTGGATGTGAGGTGGAAATCTCTGTAGGTTGTGAGAAGCTTCTGGAGTTTTTTTTTATAGTTTTCATCCCTTTGTTTGGCTAATTCACTATATTGGCCAGATATCTGAAAACTGGCATGGCATACATGATGGCATGGATCTTGTTCTTCCCATTAAGCTGGCTCTACAGGACTGTCTTATCTTTTGTTGACACTTGGATATTGCTGTCCTCTTTATTATTTTTATGTGGTTGTGGGATACCATGGTACTTGTAGCTGGTTTGTGTGTCTGCTACCCTGTTTCCCACAGACATGGGAGAGTTGGCAGCTGGAGTCACACAGCACGGTCTTTGGAGCATTCCTGCTGCCAGCTCTGGTATAACATTGTAGATAAATGTAAAGTGATCTTCTATATCAGGGCTTTTCAACCTTTTCACCCATTGTACCACTTTTAGGATATGGCAGCATCTGAGTACCACCAGTCACTTAGCAAGGTGTCAAAAACTTGGTGACCAAAAAAAAAAAAGAAAAAAGAAAAAAAAGAAAGACAAAAGGGGTAAAGTACAGGTAGTCCTTGACTTACAACAGTTCGCTTAGTGACTGTTTGAAGTTACAACGGCACTGAAAAAAATGCCCCCCAAGCCACAACCGAGCAGGACACCTGCCTGCCTGCCCAGCCGCGCTCTTTCTCCTGTCCAAGGTTTTCATTGTTGTGAGCATTTCTGTTGAGAATTGGCAGCAGGGATAGGGTGGGGGTGTTTGGTTTTTATTCCCCCCATCTGCTGGGTAGTTGCAGCAGGTTTTGGTCACTTAACATAACCCTGGACACTGTGACCGTCATAAATATGAATCAGTTGCCAAGCATCTGAATGTAAATCAAAAGACCCTGGAGATGCTGCAGCATTCCAGCTGATCGGCGCTTCTTTTGGGCTCTGCAGAAGTGCCAGAATCTGTGCTGCTTTCCAGCTGATTGGTGCTTCTTCAGAGCTCAGCAGAAACATCAGGATCAGCGCCAAGCTCCAGCTGGAGCCTGGCACTGATCCTGGCACTTCCACTGAGCCCTGACAGCCCTGCAGCTCCAGCCATCTCTCGCTCAGGCTTGTGCGGTGCTCATTCCCCTCCCCCACTACTTTTCTAGGATGGTTGCATACCACCTGCCAGGTGCCAATGTACCACAGTTGGTACCTGTACCACTGGTTGAAAAGCCCTGTTCTAAAGAGCAGTCAGGGTTGATCTCCTCTAGGACTGACCAGTTTGATTGCCTTGCAGTCCAAGGGACTCGCAGGAGTCTTCTCCAGCACCATAGTTCAAAGGCCTCAATTCTTTGGCGCTCAGCCTTTCTTATGGTCCAACTTCCACAGCCATACATTGCAACAGGGAAAACCATGGCCTTGACTATACACACTTTTGTTGGCAGGGTCCAGTTCTCACTGTTGCTTCTTGACCCACATATAGGTTTCTCAAGAGACAAATAAGATGGTCTGGTACTCCCATCTCTTTAAGAACTTGCCACAATTTGTTGTGATCCACACAATCAAAGGCTTTAGCATAGTCAATGAAGCAGAAGTAGATGTTTTTTTGGAACTCCATGATCCAGCGTATGTTGGCAATTTGATCTCTAGTTCCTCTGCCTCTTCAAAATCCTGCCTGTACTTCTGGAAGTTCTCGATCCACATACTGTCGGAGTCTAGCTTGTAGGATTTTAAGCATAACTTTACTTGCGTGTGAAATGAGTGCAACGATGTGATAGTTTGAACATTCTTTGGCATTGCCTTTCTTTGGCATTGGAATGTAAACTGACCTTTTCCAATCCTGTGGCCACTGTTGAGTTTTCCAAATTTGCTGGCAAATTGTGTGCCAGGCAAATTTTACTGCATCATCTTTTAAGATTTTGAATAGCTCAGCTGGAATACTGTCACCTCTACTAGCTTTGATGTTGCTCAGATATCCTAAGGCCCATTTTACTTCACATTCTAGGATGTCTGGCTCAAGGTCAGTGACCACCCCATCGTGGTTATCAGGGACGTTAAGCTCCTTGTATAGTTCTTCTGTGTAATTTTGCCACCTCTTCTTAATCTCTTCTGCCTCTGTTAGGTCCCTGCCATTTTGGTCCTTTATCATGCCCATCTTTGCATGAAACGTTCCCTTCATTTTCTTGAAGAGATCTCTGGTTCTCCCTATTCTATTGTTTTCTTCTATTTCTTTGCACTGTTCATTTAAGAGGGCATTATTATCTCTTCTAGCTATTCTCTGGAATTCTGCATTCAATTGGGTGTATCTTTTTCTTTCTCCCTTGCCTTTTGCTTCCCTTCTTTCCTCAGCTATTTGCAAAGCTTCCTCAGACAGCCATTTTGCTTTCTTGCATTTCTTTTTCTTTGGGATGGTTTTAGTTGGTACCTCTTGTACAATGGTGTGAACCTCCATCCATAGTTCTTCAGGCACTCTGTCTACAACATACAAATAAATAAATATGGAAGCTATTTCTTTACATTTTTTTGTTTTGCTATAATTATGCTATAATTAACATCCACTGTGTCTGGAAGGTGGTAAGTAGGTCATTTCCTATAGGAAAATGGGCCTCCTAATGCCATGTATCTATAGACATATTATGGGGAAGGGGAGGTATTATTTATGGATTTATCCATCACAATGAGGTTTCAGAATTGCGTTTTTATTATAAACATTAACAAAATAGCAAGCAGAAAATAGCTGACGACAATATGATACAGAAAACATGAGTTTTCAACATGCAGATATGTAGAGACTCACACATACCTGAGAATACTGGCAAAAGCAAAAATAGTTATGTTCTATATAGTATATATTGACCAATTCCAGCAACGACTTTCCTAAATTTCTAATGTGTTAACTTCATATAGTAGGCATCTGCCAATTATATTCAATATTTGCTTGAACAATCTTAAAACTTTCTTTTTGCAAGAAAATTGATTTTTTTAAAAAGGAGGATTTGATCTTTTTGGAAAGTGAATTCACTTAATTTGATAAAAACCGTTACCATTATTTAGGATGAAGCAGGGGTTGTCCTCCCCCCTTCTCTCTTCCTCTCCTTTTCTCCTTCCCTCTTCTCCTCTTCCTCCTTCTCCTTCCTCCTCCTCCTCCTCCTCACTAAATTGGAGCAAGAAAACATTTGAAATAGCATAACAGGAAACAAGATTATGTATTCATGTATAGATGGTTTGAACAAGGGATCTGTTTCACAGCTTGAAACTTCACATTCCAAAAAACGGAGATTCATTCTGAAAACCATTTCTAGCAATATTAAAACCTTCTCTAACTATACAGATTCAGACTACAAGTTATATTTGAAAAAGCTGTGATTTGTGCACAAAACACAAACAAGATGTAGAAGAAAAAGGGCAAAGTTACTGTGAAGTCACTGGAAATAGCATTGTTTAGAAATACTACTTTTTACTCTATTCATCCTTTGCTTGAAAGTTAGATAGGTTGATCGACTTAATTGTGATAATTAAGGAGATGGACACATAATTTTATTATGAACTTTAAATATGTTCTTTTTTATATTCTCAGCCTTAAATAGATTTGTTATGACTAAAGATTGAATACTTTTCCTCAAAGTTATTGTGATAGCAACGCATTTGATACAGGTAAAATTTTAAACGAATGCTCTGGATGCATTTCATTTATATTTTAATACTCATGTGTGTGGGCTTCGTTTAACCTGAAAGATAATTAATTGGTTTCCTCTCCTGGATGCATTTGATCTTAATCACTCAAGGTCAAAAATAATCATTATGAAATGTCTGAGTTCTGTATTTTTAGTACTTGGAATGTTACTACTTAGCGTTTTATATAACACACATAACAAAATTGCAAGCAAAGAGAATAGTACAGACAATTTTTGCTAGTTAATGGCAAACCTGCAATTGATTCATGAGTGCTGAAGGTAGCTTTTAAGATAAACACAGAGCTAATATATGATGTGTGCTGATTTTCAGATGGATGTAAGTATTAATTGTATCCTCTCAGACTTTTTTATGTGAGGAGTCATGATGGAGCAGTGGTTAGAATTCATTATTATTGGTAAACTCTGCCCACAGTCTGGAGTTTGATCTTGACTGATTCAAGGTTAACTCAGCCTTCTATCCTTCTGAGGTCAGTAAAATGAGGACCCAGATTGTTGGGGGCAATATATGCTCATATTGTAAACCACTCAGAGAATGCTGTAAAGCACTATGGAGGGGTATATAGGTCTAAGTGCTATTGCTATTGATATTATGAGCCTGAGAGAAATATAGTATGCATATATTTTTCATGCATAGTTATTTGAATGGAAAATATGTATGAATGCCTTGTGTTCAGTTTTCTGAAAATGTTAATACAGGAAGACTACATGTATTTTAATATATGTATAAGAAACATGTTGGGATGACTCCAATAAAGACAAAGTGAATATTATTTTCCATAAGGAAATAGCAGACTATTTAAAGAGACAAAAAGTGGTATTGATAGGGGATTTGAATTAGTGATTATAGGAGAAAACTTGTTACATCCAGAACAGTTCTGACTTGTCTTGCTGACTAGTTTTTTTTTTTCAGAGAATAGAGGAAAGAACAAGAGGAACAACCATCCTTGACTTACGGCTATCCAGTAAGGACATTTTAGATGAAAAATTGATTGTGAAGTTATTTCAAATGTTTCATTAACCAACTAGATAACATCAGTTAAAAAATGTGATGTCTTCTGCCTTTGAATCATCTACTACAGAGGTCCCCAACATTTTGGGCACCAGGGACTGGTTATGTGGAGAGAGATTTTTCCATGGACTGGAGGGGGAGTGGTTTTGTGTACTGCCTGAATCTCACAGATGGGTCTTTGCTTGTTTGTGTGGACTGGTTGCTGGCATGCCACAGCCCGGTACCAGTCCATGGCCCAGCGGTTGGGGATCCCTGATCTACAATATGTAATGCAAGGACTGCAACAGCTACTAGGTAGGGCAGACAGGCAGAAGACTAGAAGAGTGCATCTACAAACACCAATAAGCAGTCAGAACACATAATGAAACTTAATATTACAACACACAGTTTCCACTAAATATGATGAAAGAAAGAAAGAAAGAAAGAAAGAAAGAAAGAAAGAAAGAAAGAAAGAGAGGGGGGAGGAAGGAAGGAAGGAAGGAAAAGAAAGAAAGAAAGAAAGAAGGAAAATCTTGGAAGATTGGCATGCAGTTAAATCAGGCATCAGCAGACATACAGAGAGAAACCACATTTACATACCACCCATAAGAGACACAAAACATTCAGTCCTGAGCTAAGATATTCTCTTCTATTGGGGAAAGTTATCATCAGTTAAATTTATTTATACATTTCTTCCCTTGAATCAGCCATAAGAGGCAGGGATCTATTACCAAAATTGCTGTCTTTGCCTATTTGCTCAAATTTCACAGGATCAAAACAATCCCAGATAACAATGTAAGATATCCCAGTTATCTCAATGCCTTTCATTGAGCTACAGCTACAGCTAAATATGAACAATTTCATCTTCCAAATGTCTTGCAAACAATACACAGTGATCTCCAAGCATTTTTAAACTATTCCTTAACATACTCCAATATAATATTTGCTTGCCAGATTTTGAAATGTCTGATCAAGCTTTATACTTCTTGGTTCTAAATGATTATTTCTCCCTAGATTTCATTTCACTCCATTTCTTATCCATTCCATCTCCCTATCTTTTTTGACACTGGGCTTTGTTGGGCTGGAACACCTGAATTAGAACAAAGTACAAATAAAGTATACTATGGGGCTCTATTTACTCTATTTGTCAAATAAATGTACAAAATTCTTCCAAATTGAAAAATACAGGTAATCACATTATATAGATTTAATACTAACATTTCCTCCAATTAAAATAAATCTTATTAAGTGTAGCATGCCAGATATAGCTCTCTCATTTAGTTTCTTCCTCTCTCTGATATACATCTATCTCCCCTGCCTTTCTGCTTTGAATGCGCCAATTATAAGTATATTTACATGCTGGGTCTTGGTCACACAGCTGGAGCCCTCACTAACTGCTTTTATTAATGAAGAAAGCTTTCTTCCTGTGCTGTTTTCTTTTTTCTTTTTTTGAACTTATAGTTTCTCTCTGCTCAATAAAACATCAATCCTGCAATTAGCACCACATTTGTATATTTTCTTAATATTCCAACAAATTGAACTGAAAATAGAAAGTGATATTTGAATTTGAACCTCTATCTGTGGCTAATTAAACTTTAATGATAATAATTAGTTACTATGAGATTATATTAGTTTTAACAAAAATAGTCTTTGAGAACAAGCAAATATTGCAGTTTTTTTTAAAAAAAATCTCTCTTCTGCAGTATATTTTAAATCTAGTCATTGATATTGATATAAAGTTTGTATTACTGTACATTAATAACCCAAATTTGTTTAAAGCAAAAGAGGAACACTTTCTTATACATGGTACAAAAATGTTAGAAACATAATTTTGCTTTCTAACTCGTAACATAATTTTAAAAGTAAAAACAAATGCATGGCTCAGACAGCTTTTAATTTAAAATGTATAGCACCTCTCTTATGGCATTTATAACATGTTTAAAAACTATCTGCTCAGTTTTCATTTCCTTGTATTTATAATCGAGTGTAAAGATATAAAGCAAAACAATAAAAATTAATATACAGTATCTTCATTCAGTCAAGTGCTTAGGAAAGGGAAAAGGGAAAACTGAAATGGCTAAGAAAAATCAATGTCCGAATGTGACTGGGTGAATGTACAGATACCACATATGGAGAGATGGAAGTCCTGGGATTTTGCAACCTTTTTCCTGCAAAACTCTCCTAGCAGAATAAAGGGTTTATTTTCCATTATGCCAAGTGGCTTGTGATCCTAGAAATTAATGATCAGTCATAGTGTCATTAAATAGACTGGTTCAAATAGCTGCATAACTGGGGCATCAGAAAGCTGCCATGCTAGCAGCTTGGCAAACATGTACAGAAGATGAAAATGCATCACATCACACTGTTAGCACTCTGGTTTTGGCATTTATCACAATGTTCTCCAAAAGGAAGAAGCTCAATTTCTTTTTGTTCTGGTGACCAATTGCCCTAATTATAGGTACTAAAAATGGCACAATGCAAGGCAGAGCAACTGATCACAGCAAACTGCTATGTACAGTAGGAACATTCCATCTTTTCTCTATGTGCAGAAGATGCAGGGCTTCTGAATGTCTTTCTGTTGACACGATATCTACCATTTTAGAGATGCTGCAAAAAGTTTAAATAATTACCTAACCAACTTCCTGGGAAGAATTCATGCTGCCACATAGGCTATTATGGCTAAAAGTCATGCATTCTAGAGGTTTGCCATTGCTTTCTTCCAGAATTTTGTTGTAGAAGTTTATTTCCAGTTATGTCGATTGTCCCTGGGATTTTTGGTGATCTCCACATACTAATCAGCTCACCCTTTTGCTTTTAAAATCAGCTGCAGTCAACTTGCCACATTCTGCAGCTAGCTGCAATACTTGAGTTAAAAGGAAAATAACAAGATTTTACATAGCTGTTCCTATGGGTTAAAGTATGTTCTTTCAGTACAGAGGAATATACAAAATATAATATTGGTATTTAGTTTTCATAAAATGCTTGTGCTCTCATCAGCAGTTTGTGGACTGATGGTAGACTTGCTCTAGAGAGAACTTTAATAGTCCCATGATCTCTGCAGGAGCCACACTCCAGCTCCAGCTCCACTTGTGTGACCAGATGATTTGGCAGAAATCTTGAAAGGGTTTTTCATGTGATAGAGAGCTGTAAGATTCCTCAGTGGTTCTTCCAATCCTTGTTGATTGTCTTCCCCTTGTAGAGATGTATGATGAAGACATTTTTAAATTCCTGAAGAATGAATCTTTGCTTTCAAAAAGACTGGAGTAATTTAGTGTTTGTCTATAAATACAGGACCAGTGACTTTGAATATCTCTGCAGGTATATCTTCTGGTCCTGGCCTTTGCATTGGATAGTTAGTTGACAGTTCTGTGAATTTAGCTACTACTGGTGAGTCATCTATGGTGCTGGTGATGTTGATGTTGTTCAGGGTAATCTTCTCCATTACCTCATTGTTAATAGATGACAGTCAGTTGAGAATGATTTCAAAGTGTTCAGCCCATCTCTGCAAGTTCTGAACTTATTCTATAACAAAAATTGTACCATCTAACTTAGGAAGGGGGAACTCCTGAGAGAATGAGGTCTGTAGAGAGCATTAAGGGCTTCATAGAACCATTTACAGTCATTTTTATCAGCCTAGAATCAGCAATTTATTCTGGACTATCCTACAAGCATCTGTAAAGGTGTTTTCTTGGCAGCTGATGATAAATCATTCTGATAGACAAGATGAGGGTAATGCTTTTCAAGAAGTGGAGCATGCATCTTCTCATCATTTTCATCAAACCAGTTATGCTGCTTGTGACTAGAGGGCCCTAGCATCTTCACTGCTAATGAATGAACAACATCCCTGAAGCATTCCCAATCAAGCTCAGGACTGTCAGCAAGATGAAAGTCAGAAAGCTTAGTTTCTAAATCTTCAGCCAGTGCTAAAGCCACTGTAGCAGACATGTCAAACTCACGACGTCACATGATGTTGTGTATCGGGATTGGTTTGCTATTGCTGGCAATGGGGTGGGCACAGCTTCTGCATGACATGTCTGGCCCACAGGCTGGCAGTTTGACACCCCTGCACTGTGGGGTTCTTCAGCCTGCCACATTAATTATTTTCATGGACTTTTGACTACCTCTTGATTTTTGATGTGGAGCTTCACTTTAGAAACAGACTGTGATCTGTCCAACAATCAACACTACTTGGTCATTCTGATATCCTGACTGCCTTTGTCCTGATGTCATAGTCAATTCAATTTATAGCCAATAAGATACCAATACATACATACATACATACATGCATACATACATACATACATATAATACATCCAGGAAGTTTTGTTACTGGTAGGCAGATGAAAAGGTGTCTTGGTGATGAGGAGATTGTGTACTGCACACCTATATAGTAAGCACAAGTTATTATTATTATACTTATCCACTTCATGACTCCCAACAATTCCTCACACTCTGCTCTTGCTTGAAGCCATTGAACAAGATCAGCTTATCAATACTACTCACTACTGATACTAGGGCATTTAGTTCTTCATAGAAGTAGCTCTTCATCTTGTCATTGTAGGAACATAAGTCTTGATCAGGGTAGCTTGACTTCTTTTCGGTGGTGAAGGTTCTAATGGCAAGTCTCCGAACATGATAAATTGCTGCCACAGGGCTGTAGTGTCAAAGTTATATCTTGCAAGCTCTTTGATAACCAAGGCTATTCTTGTCTCTGCTCTATTTGCTGCAGGTTTGTCCAAAGGTATGTGCATGTTCCAAGTGACAATAATGAATGCATTATTTTATACTTTTCTGTATTTATTTGATTACCAAAATAAAATTCCCATCAGCCACAGTAACTGATCAGGGTATAATGAGGCAATAGTAATAGCAATAGCACTTAGACTTATATACGGCTTCACAATGCTTTACAGGCCTCTCTAAGCAGTTTACAGAGTCAGCATACTGCCCCC